CCCGGTGTTGTGCCCCCCTGAAAGAGTAATGCATCTTTTGCCAGTCGGAAAATCGTCCAGGGGACTTTCCTTGGAGGCGGCTTTTCATCCTGGGTCCCGTCCTGACGGTCCTGGGACCCGAAAGCGCCCCCCGGAGACCAGCAACGACAAAAAACCGAGTGCCGCGAAATCAAAATCGACGACTAAAGTTGCAATGTTTGTCCAGGGGTGCGTGGGCTGGGGGGGCAACCGTCGGGAACTTTTAGTTAGCGTGTCGCTCCACTTTTTCTGGCCCACCAGGCCTCGGCATGACACGATATATTCATTTCCCAGTCCTCAGGCGTCAATCCAGTTGTCTCCGAGCCTTCGGCCCCACGGAGCGGAGCGACACGCCATCCACTATCGCTTGGGCCGCCGCCGCGACACGCTGAGTAACAGTTCCCGACCGTTCCCAGGCTGTTGGGTTGCTCCCCAGACATCTGGACGCTCCAATTTTGTCGACGAGTGGGCCCCAGAGGTTTGGACCACTTCCCCAGGGCCGGCATTTCGTCTTGAGTCGTTGTTTGACGCTCCCGAGGCCTGGCGAAGGCCCCCGGAGGCCGAGAGCTGCCAAAATCCCGCCAGAGTGTTGTGCTCAAGGTCCTGAGATTTTTTGGCGTGGGGGATTTCGCAGCCCCTGACAGCATACCCTGGCATCAGCAGCCTGGACACATCTTCGCCCTTTCGCTCCGCCAGTCGCTCTTCCGAGACCGTACTGGGGTTCCCGCTCCTTTGTCCCTCACATTTATCGATGGCGCAGGATGGTTTCTCGAGGGCCGCTTGGGTTCGACAAAGTGGTGCGGGCGGCAAGGGCAAGGGCGGTGGCGGCGGCGGAGACGCAAGGAATCATAATTTCTATCACGAGAAAGGTAAGGCACTCTCTGGCCCACTCTAGCTCTGCAGCGTTTGCAGTTGCGGGAAGAATTCCATCTCCTCTCCATACTGCAAGCAGTGCTCCGCGCCATGGAGTGGTGAGGCGCTTCCTGGTCATCCTCGCCGTGCTGGCGCTTGGGTTGGTGGTGCTCCTCCCCACGTTTGCTCACCTCTCCCTGTCGGAGCTGTCTACGGCCAGGGCGGGGCGGGAGGTTGGGCGGCTCCAGGCATACTGCGAGGTTGGCAGCGGCAGCCAGCTCCACCGCGGCCTGGTTCGTGGGCCCTTCGGGATTACAGAGTTGGCAGTGCCATGGCTGGTCAAATGCTAGACATGGCTCGAGCTGCTGCGGTGGATACCTTGCTTTTCACGCGCTTTCTTGTCCCTGACCCTGCTTGGCTCTTCCCGAGCCCCTGCCTCGAGGAGCGAGTCGTGTGGACGGTGCGGTCTCCCGACTTGCTGCTCGACGTGCACGTGTTCGGTGATGGGTCGGGGAGGCACGGAAGTTTCTCTCGCTTACGGCGCTGTGGATGGGGACTCTGTTCGCTTGACGACAGCAAGCGAGTGGTTGCTCGCCTGCATGGCCCTCTGCCCTGTCTCATTCAATCTGTGCCAGCGGCTGAGCTTTTCAGTTTCTTGATGGCGCTGAGGTATATGGGAGCTCAGATGAAGTTTTATACGGATTGCAAGCCGCTCGTGGATGTCTGGCGCCAAGGCGTTGGAGCGGGCACCGCTGCGAGTGACCCGCTTGCCTTACTTTGGAGGGAGGTTTGGAGGCTTGTGTCTGACCGTGGGGGTGAGTCGGTGGAGGTTTCTCACGTCAAAGCGCATACTCCTGCCTCTGCCGTAGCAGAGGGACGGATTTCAGAATGGCAGCGTGTCGGCAATGCCCAGGCTGATCAGTCGGCTAAATGGGGTGCCGCCATGCATAGTGATTCCCTCCAGCTGCGATCTGCGCATGGCGCGTCGCGCAGCGCCATCCGCCTTGTAGCCCAGTTCTGTACCAGGCTGGTCGCTCGGATCGGCACCATCACGCCACGTGACGCCCAAGCGCAAATACTCGGCCGTGCCATAGGCACGATTGAGGGGGGACTTGGTCCCCCGAAGCCGCACTCGCGTTTCGACCCTGCAGTGACGGTGGTTGCGCACAGGTTCCGATGCATGGTGTGCCTTCGGTCAGCGAGGACACGCTCGGTGCTTCGCCAGCTTCGATGTGACGACAGGTCCAGCTCCCACGCACTTCACCGCGCGGGGCCTTTCCTGTTCTGCTCTCTGTGCGGGGCATTTTCGGAAAAGAAGAGCCAGGGTCTTTCGCAGGATTGCTTACCGATGAATCGTAGGCAGGGTGTCCTGGTGAGAGACTCGAGATACTACAGGCTGCGCAACCTCATGCGAGGCTGCCATCCTTTACGGGCCCGCGATTTTGTGGGCCCTCCGATTTTGCTGCGGAAGCGAAGGCTGCTGGAGTCGGCCGTACTGCCGCCTCTGCCTGCTCTTTCTCCTCCTGTCGGGACTGGGAGTGGGGGGGTGGGGGTGGGGTGGACGGGGCAGGAGTGCTCTCCGCCGCCCGCTTTCCAGGCCGATCTGGCCTTGTGGGACGGCCTCTCTGGCTTTCCCATTGCCAGCGTAGAGGAGGACGACGGCGACCCATCCCAAGGTGCGTGGGGTCGGGTCGAATGCGTCCCCTGCGCTGGCTAGCTGTTTTTCAAACGAAGGCTGGTTCGCTTGCGGTCAGTCTCTGTCAGTAAAAAAAAGGTTCGTGGGCCCTTGTCCCGGGCCGCAGGGCAGCGGCGCACGTGGCTCAGGCCAGCAGTCTCGGCTGCAGGGCCTCAGCGTTGACGAGCTCAAGTTTTCCTCAAGGTTCACGAGAAGCTGGGCAACCTTGAGGAGGTGGGAACGTGCAAGGCGCAGCTGGCAGCTCTCCGCCCGCCCCGCCACCTCCGCAGCATCTTTCTCTTGAAGAGCAGCTGGCGCGGTGCCAGTGGGACCGCCTTCGTCGTGGAAGCCGCTTCGAGAAGGAGCTTAAGAATATCGATTCGCTTAGGTGCAGATGGACAACCAACGCAAGTTGGTGGCCACGACGGCTAGCGAGTTCGAAGTGCTGGACAAACCCTACGAGGAGCTTGCGAAGAAGGTGGCGTCGTCGGCGCCCCAAGCCTAAGGTCGGCGATGTGGTTCCAGGACCGCTTATCCCCAATTGAGGCCATCCTGGAGGGCAAGCTCGACGCCTTGGTGGGGCGGCAGAGGGCGGACCTTCAGGCGGGCATGGAGGAGCTGGCGAAGAATCCCTTCGCCACTGCCGCATCAGCTGCGACAGCAGCTCGCGAAGCCCAGCGCGAGAAGAATACCCGTCTTTCTCGCGAGAACAGAAGGACAACAGCGGCGAGGCCAAGCCTGGTGATGAAGTGGGTGGCGAGTCTCACCCTGCCGCTGCGGGACCAGGGTCTGCGCTGCCTCCCGCCGCAGAGAGCGGGGCTGCTGAGCCCGACGAGGCGGCGCCGCCCGCGGCGGGCGAGGCCGCGCTTTGTCGCCCGCGCGCAGGCAGCCAAGGCGGCAGCTGAGCAGCCGCCCCCCCCCCACCCCTTGCAGGCGCCGCGCGAGCCGCCGCGTCGCAGTCTCGGTAACTTCTCTCGCGGGGGGACCAGCGTCAGCTGAATGTTTCCCCGTGCGCCGCCTTCTTTTCACCGGACAGGGCTACCGCCCCGAGCCATCCAGGGCCCCCTGCCGCCGACCACGGCTTGGAAGCTGCATTGTTGGTGATCCAAGCGTGCCGCGGCAACGCTTGGACTGCGATGGAGGAATGGTCGGGCTCCTGCGAGGCGCGCGCAGCGCTCGTGCTGGAGCGCGAGACGGCCGCCCAGGGGGCGGCGCGGGCGGCCCCGGGGGCGGGCGGCCCATCCCCAGTTATGTTTAATGTGTTGGGCTGTTTTAAAAAATTTGTTTGACGCTCTTCCTCGCCGGGCGAAAAGTATGATACATGTGTATATATATATGTATGCATGTACATATATATATATAGAGAGAGAGAGAGAGTTGTACAAACATATGTATACATACACATATACATAACACGACGAATGTATAAACAGGAATACGCGTTGCGATGTTGCACAACAGCCACATTACATAATCAATATAATGTTTACTCTTCTTGAACATTGTTGAGTTACGGTTTGCTCATTTCTGTTGCTTGTTTGCGGTTTTCTCCCGCCCGGGCGGCGGCGCCCCGGCGGGCCGCCCCGGGGTCCGCGGCGGCCGCGGGCGGCCGGCGGCGGCCGCAAGTGGCCGCCATGGCAGGGGGCGGCTGCCAGGGCGGGAGAGGGGCCGCCGAGCGCAGGCGGGCGCCGGAGCGGGGGAAATTCGGTAAGAACTGTAGAGCAAATAGTGCGAACATAGGGAAATTCGATGCGACGTTGCAAAGGACCGATGAATTATGCTTGCGTGTTTTTATGGATGTTCAATTTCTTTCAACTATGCTTAG